TTTAGGGCAAATTTCCAACACTTTGCGCCGGTGGGTTCACTCAATGAAAGAACGACCTCCACAAGCATTTTGAGAAATATGATGGTTTGAAGTTCGCTCTAGCAGTTGGTTGCCCTAAAGAGTTGGTGGACAGTAGGGATGAATGGGAGTGGCTCTGCGGCCATTTTCAAAACAAGAAATACCTCAAAAGTTTAATATATATTTCAAAAATATTTAATAAAAAATTTTATATTTTTGAATAATATTTTAATTTTTTCATTAATTGGTTATAAATATCTAAACTAATATATTTTTTTTTAATTCAACAGAAAAAAGTGAAGGCAAACTTGATCAATCGGTTGAAGAAGAATCTTCACCGTTCCGGCTCACGACGCTTCTCTTATAGGTTGGAGGAGCAACGTAAGGTAACTGTATATTTATTTTAAGTTTCGATTCTTTTTACTTAGATTGACACAATTGGTAATCTATGTATTAATATTTTTTTATTTATTCAGGGGATCAAAGTTTCCTGAGATTGACATGTTAAAGGAGGTATATGTTCGACATGAGGATGAGCTGACAGAGCAGCTTCATGTAAGTTATTTCAAATTTTAATATTCAATTAGTATTAATATTAATTACATGTATATTAAAATTAATCTGTTTGTTTTCATTTTTCTAGTCCACCATGGTGGAGAAGGGCCGGACTGTTCTGGAGGAGGTGGCTTCCCAACTTTCCCGAGAGACCCCGATCAAGGAGGTGTTTCCCCTCGGGAAAGCCCGCCTTCGGGACCCGTCTGCCTCCTCCTCCAAGCAGAGAACATAAGAGGTTGAATCGTGGACATCTGAAGTGGTAGACCTAAAGGAGCAAATTGCTGCCCAGTAGTCTTAGTTTACGGCCCAAAGCAATTTGATGAACCAAATTCATCTCGCCCTTCAAATATCTGGCATTTGGTTCCTCAACGTTGAACCACCTCCAGGAATGACCTCCCAGTCCCCCCGCCACAACTGCTACAACCTCCCAGCCCCCCAACACAGAAGCAACATCACTAGCAGGCGATTGTGATGTAGACGACTACATATTGTAGTTTTTTTCAATCATTTTCAAATTTTAAAATATTTCTTTCTGTTGTATGTACACTTTCAATAAATTTGTAATTCAATATTCTTCTTTACATTTTCTGTTTTTAAAATTAATTTATACATAAAGCAATATTATCAACATTTAAAAAGAAAAAAAATATTAAAAAAATTAATTTTAAAATCTTAATGCAATGGCCTCTACATCCATCGCGTAAGGGTCAATGCTACGAACCTTCAAGTGCAGCGAACACTCATTTGTTGCTTTTTGTTTCGCGCAACGACAACCAATTTCATCGCGCAACATTCATTTCGTGCGACGAATTACTTTCCTCTGTCGTGCAATGTCTGACGTCACAAGTTTTGCGCAACAGAATTTGCAAGACGCCTTCTCCGTCACCCAAATGTTTCGATGACCGTATTCACCTTTGCGCGACGGATGTCACTTTGTCACCCAAGTAGTTATGCTTAGTAGTGACAGGTGCTTCGAATATGCTCGACAACAACTCTCAACCAGAAGCATTCACAAGTTGCTTCATGTTAGGCAAGAATCTCGGCATGGTTTGAAGTGAGAGGTCTTAGGTTCGATTCTTGTCAAAGGTGAATTTGAACCATATTATTGCTAGCTCATTATGAGCCTAAGTCCACCTTATTCCCCTTAGTATAAATAATGTCCTTTTTTAAAAAATAAAAAATAAAAAAATAAAAACCAAAGTGATAAGGTATTCAACAATCAACATTCACGTAAAAAAAAAACAACACAATATACATGATATCCCTTGGAAGTTTCGGCAAACCAATTCCGAGATTATTAATTGGCATTAACTGGTATTTAATCATTTTTGTTCAGGTTGAAAGCTCGCTATATACAAAACCGGAAACAAAATTGGCGTTTTTAGATAATCACCTAAATCATGTTTGTTTTTAATCATGTTCATTCAAAGATAGAGATTTGAGGTGCTTTTTCAGGATTATAGAACATGATTGTCTATTAGGTTCATATTCTTAGGTTTGATTCATGATTATCTAATGTTGTGTAATTAAAGTTAGATGGTGACTTAAAATATAATCCTAAAAGCATCAGATAACCATGGTACTTCTAGGATTATCTAATGTTGTGTAATTACAGTCTTTATCATAGCCAAATAATCCTAAAAGCACCAGATTCTCCTAAAAGCACCTGATAATCCTAAATATAATCACTGTGGTGCTTTTCCAAAATATATTTTCATGCTTTTACATTCATATATATATATATATATACATATATAGAATCAAGGGACAAATATTTTAACAAATATTTTTAATTAATTGACTAAGAGTGATGTAAAGAGTTTTAAACATTAATTGACTTGAATGATGATGTGGTTAATAATTAATAAGGAAAATGCTAATCTAAATTAAAAACAAATATCTATTAGAATAAAACTGAAAAAAAAAAAAAAAAAAAAAAAAAAAAAAGCAAATAACATTTGAACCCTAATAACAAAAAAACATGAAATCTCTTCTTTGCCGATGAGGTCTCCAGTGCCTCTCTTCTTTCATTTCATAAAAAATAATCCTAACAATTAGGGGTGGTTCGGTATGGGATACCATACCGAAACTAGTATCCCGAATCCCAAACCGAAATTTTTCGGGACGGGAATTTGAAAACCAATCCCAAACCAAATTTTCGGGAATCCCAAATTTCGGGAATCCCGAAATATTTTCGGGATTTTGGGACAAATCGGGAATCCCAAATTGAAATATGAAATTATGAATTGTTCTTCAAATATATAATTCAAGAACACATTTATGAACTAGGAATTTCATTTCATTCACACTACCATTTAATTGAACACTGGCATGCTTAACTCTTTTTATCATAGTCAAAATTCAAGTTAATTAAACTCTTTTTGCAATCTGTTGAGAGACAAAAGAATCAAGCCTTCTGAAATCATCAGCCATGGCAGTAGCAATAATCAAATCCACATGAATATCAAACAGAACATGAAAAATATGCAAGGTGTAGGGCATTCTAGGTTGCTGAGCATGAATTAGAAACTAATAGCATCAATTATAAAAGAATAATATATATATATGTATAAATATATATAATAATTAATATTATATATTTTCGGTTTGGTATGGGATTCCCGAAATATCGAGAAGCCAATCCCGAATCCCATACCGAAATTTTGGGATTGGTTCGGGATACCATCCCGAAAATTTCGGGAATTTCGGTTTGGGAAATTTTTGGTTTGGGATCGAGATTTTTTCGGTTCGGTTCGGGATTTTCGGGAATTTTTTCCACCCCTACTAACAATAACAAAACAAAACAAAACAAAAGAAAAAAAAAACATTATTTAAGAGTAGAAAAATCATGAATCATATGAACTAACAAAACTTAATTTTATCACCCTGCATATATTAATAATAATATAGAATTTAAGATTTTATTTTGCTTACCTAATGAAGATTCAAAGCATCGAAGTTGCAAACGTGGAGGAGATGGAGGTTGCAGAAATCATTCTACCACCCCAGCTTATTTAACAATATGTTAAGAGGAAAGGAGAGAAGAAAAAAGTAGAAAAATGAGAATAAAACTCCAAGAAAGCAATAATTCGAGGACGAATCACTTAAGATATGATCATGGAAAAGCAGTTTCTATCCACGGTCATAACACGTGGTGTTAGATTCCAAATTATTAACGGGCACAATGTCCATAGTACATTGCAATCTACAACAAACATTAACTGTGATAGATGACTTTTTTTCTTCTTTGTTAACAAAAACTAAAATTCGATTCCTGGCTGACACCAAAAATACCATAAAATTCAAAACCCACATCCAAAACCCTTACCATCTCCCTCGACCTTACGTTCCACCAAATCATCCAATAAAGAAAAGGAAAGGTGTAGAATTAAAGGTATGGGTTTATACTATCTCAATACACCTACTCTACCCTGTATCATAAAGACAGCCCATTCTCATCTCTGCATACAGTCCATTCCAATGGAGTAGGATTATTTCTTCACATATTCCTCTTCTTCTTCCTCCCCTACTGTCACCTTTGGTTTTTGTCTTTTTGTCTCTATAAAAAATCAATATAAAATATTGACGTGATTTAATTGTAACCATTCAAATACGAGGGGATGAAAAAGGAGAGAGATTAGGAGGAGAAAGAATCATCCTCCCATTACAATGGTATAAATAACATTATTATACGGTTATGGGATAACTTCATTTTTCAAGTATGAATAATGTTAGGTAAACCAATGTAGTCTACAAAATTGGTACCACGTGATTCGATATGAATTGGTACCATACCTATTTATTATCATTATCATGTTAAGTCAACATGTCATTCGTGTCACAAACGTGTTGCTTCACTAAGTAGTTGTGGTCCTCTAGTTAATGGTGTTAGTGGATTTGGGTCCTATCTGGATCCATATTATGAGAATCTTAGGATCCTCACATTCAAACCATTTATCAAACATCATGTAGTTAGAAATCATTTGAATTTTTTTATTAAAATTAAATACAAATAGTATCTAACTAAAATTGACCGCACGATTTACAATGAATGGCTAAAATATAAGGATCCCTAAGATCCTCACAAAGAGGATCCGGAGAGGATCCTCATCCAGTGTTAGTTGGCTTTGTTTCTCCTATTCCAAGAAAGATCAATGATTTCAACACTCCTCTTTTAATCTCATGCAATCCATTTTGTCTTAATTTTAAGATTGAGTCAATCGAAGCATAATTAACAGACAAAAACGAAATTAGGAGTGCATGAGGACAAAATAAATTAATTATTATTTAAGCGTTGATAAACGTGCTAATTTTCTATTGATGACACATTATTTAGTTTGAAATTTTTTTTCTACAAATTTAGTTTGTCTAGCATTACTCACAAAACCACTTCACTACAGGCTACAAGATACAAGAGTTCCTATATAAATGCTTTACACACTCAATATGTACACGCACTGAAGAAAACTTTTAGTTAAGAAAATGTTGCCTTATCAGAATATTGAAGAAGCAGAAGAAGCCCTTAGCAGGGCTCTAAGTTTAGCAGAGAAGCTATGGTTCAAATACTCAGCTCAAAAACCTGATCACATCCTCCATTACCATAACATTATCTTCCTTATGTTGTTTTACACCTTGGCTCCGCTGCCATACGTGTTCATCGTCCTCGGCGGGTTCAAGAACATCCACAAGTACAAAATTCAGCCAAAAGTGAAGGACTCCCCTTCCAACATGTTCAAGTGCTACAAAGATGTCATGCAAACCTTCCTTCTTGTTGTTGGTCCTCTGCAAGTGATTTCATACTCCACAGTCCAGGTAATTTTATAGGGAATAGGATCCTATCCGGATCCTCCTTGTGAATTATTATTTTTATTTAAAATTGAATACAAACAGTATCTAACGAAAGATGACCGCATAATGTACGATAAATGGCTAAGATGAATTGATTCCTATAATCCTCACAAAGAGGATCCGGAGAGGATCCTCATCCATTTTATAGCACCTTAAAAAGAAATGGAAAGTCTTGCCAAAGATTGTTTTATAATTATGGAATTTTGTTTTCTTGTATAGCTATTTTGCATGCCTAAACGCTGAAATACAATAACGTTGAGCTACAAGCCGTCACATAAACTGTTATATTATGATAATGATATTTAGATACATAAAACTAAATGCACTCTTTAATAAACATGAGCCCTATCATTGTAGTATTAAAAATTTTAAAATGACATATAATCACTCGTAATAATAAGATTTGTTTTCTTCTTTTAAATCTTGGGAAAATGAAATCTGATTTTTTGCAATCTTGTTGGATGTAATTGCAGTGGTTAGGGATACGGACGAGTCTGCCATTGCCGTCCTTCTCACAAGTATTTCTGCAAATTGTGGTGTATTTCGTTGTAGAGGATTTTTCAAATTATTGGATCCATCGGTTGCTCCACTGTAAATGGGCCTACGAGAAGATCCACCGGGTCCACCATGAATATACTGCTCCCATTGGGCTTGCAGCACCATATGCTCATTGGGCCGAGATTTTGATTCTAGGCCTTCCATCATTCCTCGGCCCAACTTTGGTTCCCTGTCACATTACCACCTACTGGTTGTGGTTCGTTTTGCGGCAGTTGGAAGCAATCGAAACTCATAGCGGGTAAGTATACTAGCCAGTATCAACTTAACACCGTCACATGATATTATTATGTCAAAAAGTATAAATTCATCCTCGCTTGTACCATCTTCTAGCGATCAGTACTACCACGTGGCGGTTCAATCAGTAACAAAGACTTCCCATCTTACTTTGTGTTCTAGTTGTATTCCTTTGCATTTGAAGTGACATGTCTTATATTCGGCTTTCCTGTATATACTATTATTCAGGTACATGTTCCCTTGGAGTCCCACAAAATATATCCCATTTTATGGAGGTGCAGAGTACCATGACTACCATCACTATGTCGGAAAACTTAGCAAAGGCAACTTTGCATCAATTTTCACCTACTGTGATTACATCTACGGGACCCACAAGGTATTTTATTTTTCCTTTTCTTTTTGCCTTTTCTCTTTTCATATTTAGCATTTACCCCTACTAATTTTGACTATTTAATGGTGGCACTTGAAAATTAATTAGTTGAAATCCTTAGCACTAATGCAACAAAATATCTAAACTTTCAGGGATACCGGTTGCACAAACAACTACTTGAGAAGGGAAAACTGTAAAAGCCACTGTGTATCACAGTCAGTGTTTAAAATATTGGTATCGGTGAAAATATCGATATGCAAATTTGTGGAAATATTGACGAATATCGAATAACGATATTGCTATGACCCATTCTTTAAAATATTGTATTTTATTTCCGAAACATGTAAAATGGCTATTTTGTTCTTGAGTGGGTGTCTTAATTAATTTTCGAACCTTGACTTGAAACTAAATTCTCATACTTTCTTAAGTTTCATATCTATTTTCTTGTACGTTAGTCGAGACCACGAGGGCCTAATTGTAAATTTTTACTATTGGCTCAGTGTAATTTTGTAATTTCACTTAAATGGGTTTAAGTGGGCTTACGTTAACTCTCGGCATCTCTCTTTTCCCTCAGCTGAAATCACACACACACACACTCTCTCTCTCTCTCTCTCTCCATGCACTCTCGAACTCACTCTCCCTCTGGCTCCGAGAGAGAATCGACACTACCACCCTAATCCCTTCACAAATCGAACTCCAAACCTATATTTTTGAGATCAATGGGACTCAGGGAACCTAGTGATGGTCTTGCATGCGCCATCGGTGCACTGTGAAATGCAGTGCCATTAGACCCGAGAGCTTCGAGCTCTCACCTTCAATCTTAGGTGAGATAATTTCCTTCTCTTTGATTTCTGGGTTCCTATCTGTGTTGGAATTGAAGTTTCTGTTGGAATTGAGCTTTAATTTGTGTGTTCTTAGCCCTGCTATCCTCTACATATGCATGCTCAACCCCGACATCAAATTCCGGCAAGACTTCTGTCGAGTTTGAGGTCGATTTGGGTTTGTAGCCTTCACTTCATTTCTTCCTCGTTGGGGACTGAACTGGGTGAGGTTTAAGACTATCTTTTCGAGTTCTAACCCCTGCATGTCACTCTGTGCATGTGCCCAGTTTCCGATGGTTTGTCTCGGGCAAAATCCGTCGAGTTCGTGGGTGGTAGCACTCAGACTCACTTGGAATTTGATAACGAAGACAAGGGAAGCAGAAATATCGAAAGAGCAGAGAGAGTTTGTTGGAAACAGAAGTCTCATTACAACAGAATAATCCAATACAAGACCTTATAATTAAATACACAGCTATAACCAACCCAAGTCTTGGACTAATGACATTTAGCCAGATGGCACACTAATCACTAAACACCTGTTGTCATTACTAAATCCTTCATATCTTAACATTCCCCCTCAACTTATGGTGTGATTTACCAAGCATAAGATTGGAGCAATGTGCAGAAAACAAAGGTGAGCATAAACCCTTGGTGAGAATGTCAGCATATTGTTCCCCAGATGCAACAAACTGCAAAGAAATGCAACCTTGTTGAACACGCTCCCTCACAAAATGACAGTCAATCTCAATGTGTTTGGCTTTAGAGTGCAAAAATGGATTCGTTGCTAAAGACATAGCAAAAATATTATCACGGTGCAACAAGGGGGGTATAGAACTGTCAATGTGTAAATCTTTGAGTAGTTGCTACAACCAAACAAGTTTTACAGTTGTAGTGGTCATTGCCCTATATTCGGCCTCAGTAAAAGATCGGCTAACAGTATGTTGTTTCTTGGAACACCAAGAGATAGGATTATGTCCTAAGAAAACAACAAAACCTGTAGTGGAACGACGATCATTGGGATCCCCAGCCTAATCAGCATTGGTATAAGCTTTGAGAGATAAGGAACAAGGTCTAAAACACATGCCCCAATCCAATGTACCTTTTAGATACCTAAGGATTCTCTTAACGGCAACAAAATGAGAATCCAAAGGTGAATGCATGAACTAACATACTTGATTAAAATGAGAATCCAGCCTGGTTGAAACTTAAGTACTGCAAAGCTCCCACAGTACTTCTATAAGTCTTGGGATCAGAATAAACTGAACTGCCAGTTTTCAAAAGTTTTTGATTTGGATGACAAGGTGTGAGGCATGGTTTACAATCGAGCATATTCATCTTAAGTAACAACTCCCTGATATATTGAGCTTGATGAACAAATAGACCCTATCCTTGATATTTTATCTGCAAACCAAGGAAGTAATGCAATACCCCCAAATCCTTTGTATCAAACTCCTTGGTAAGCTGATGTGAAAATTAACTTGACACACAAATTAAACCCTATTTGTGACAATTGTAGTATATATGCAAGTAGGGATCGTTCTAAACCAGGGATTAACTACGGATGCTAATCAACTCAAATAAGACTCAAAAACACTAAACTAGACTCTATAGACTCAAAACTAACTTAAAATACTCAAAACAGCAACAAACAATCAAAAATACTCAATTCTAGACCTAACAAGTTACTTGGACGAATTTTAAACTAGTACGACTCAAAACACTAAATTGGACAGATTCAAACACTTTTCTAACTAATTTTACACACTTAATTAAAGGAGGAATTGCTTTGGACGAAATTAATTAAACTAATCAGATTGCAAACTAAATAGGTTAGACGCTAAATTAGGTGAATTGAATGGGTAAAGGCTAGTTAGAGGGTCCTTCTCCACACATGCACATATGAAACACAAATTGATTTCCAATTATTATCCCTTAAAACCATGAATGACAATGCTCCAAATTAATTGTGAAAAGCACAAATTAACTTTCAGATTTTCCTAGTTTCATTGAATTGGATGGAATACGCATCGACAACCAAATTATTCTTATCAAGTTCCCTACATGAACATCATAATAGAGATACAATCAAAGATCATTAAGCTTTGTGAAAATCATAAGCATTGGTAAGGCATTCGTAACTATGAACTGCATGATACTCTTGCCTAGAATTTACTTAACACAATCATGACTAGTGACTTTTACTACTTGTGAATATAAGTTCATAACGATTAGGTGAAATTCTTTTATACTCTAGCATCAAATTCATGCATGAAAACTAAGTATGCATCCTTAATCAACACACAAGAACAAGTTCTCAATAAATTAGTTAAGTAAATTGCATTCACCATTCAAGAAACAAAAACTGGAGGAAATCAATTCATATTAAATATATATCCATGGCTTTGAATTCACCTCTAACTAAGAAAAACTTAGTTACACATGTTTATAACAATTGAAAAGAAAATTAAAATAAACATGGAAACGAAACAAGGGAAGAAAAAACTCTAAAAATCTCCAATGGATGCAGATTGCTTGCAGCACAAGGTCCTTCTTCTCCCCAAGGCTGCGGCAAGGATGTTTTTCTGAATATATGGTATGTGGTGTGGTGTGAATGAATGAATCAAGGAATGGAAGGATGAATGGTTGTGAGTAGGGTGTAGAGAGGGCTTGTGGCACAACTTAAATATATATATATAGTGCACGGCAAACCGTAGGAAATCAGAATTAAACCCTAGGGTTTGGTAGGAATCAGATGGGTGAAGGACAAAGGTGTGCACAAGGCTTGGGCCTCAAGAAAAAGGGTCAAAACCTAATTAATTGCTGAAAAGGCTTTGCACAATCCAAATCCATACGGAATAAGACCAATTCAAATCAGAATCCAAGATGAAAAAGGTCCATAAGGTGCGGCACTCTCTAGGGTTTCTAAAAGCAATGTGTTTTGTGGCAGAAAATTAGGACTTCTAGAAGGGATAAAGGGGAAAGGTGCGGCACACTTTTAGGAGTATATAAGATGTTCTAGAACCATATATCTAGGTGTATAAATCTGAAATTAAGCTCTTTTTGCAACTGAAATTAAGGTGGAACAAGATTAGGTTAGGATAAGGTTTGGATAAGATAAGGTTGTTTGGTTAATTTTCCATGTTTCTTGCTCTTTCCTTATCTTCTTTGTCTTAAACTTGTTTCTCCAGATTTGTAGCATGTTCCTAGCCTCTTTTTACTCCAAATTCATCCATCCACCTTGCTCCAAATGCAAGCTATCCAATTAGTGCCCAAAACTGTTCTAAAAAGCTCAAAATTGCCTTTTCTTGCCAACTTTGTCATTAGGACCTACAAACACACAAAAATAGCTTAAAACACTATAATCAGTAGTAATTAGCTAACTAAATGCAAGGAAACAATATAACTAAGTAGCATAAATATGCTCCTATCAAATTCCCCCACACTTAGCTTTTGCTAGTCCTCGAGCAAAACAAAACAAAACAAAACACAATCTAGACCTTCCAACAATTGCCTTAGGGATTTCCAATGCAACATGACATATTAAAGATTACTACTCCCATAGATTTTAGTTATCCCTACCCTCGAGCATATACTTACCACTCACTAGCTCCCATTTAATCAATTAAAACATGATTTTGAATATAGTAACATGTCTAAGAGAATTCCCTCAATTCCTCACCAGATACACTCTATTTTCACACAGATTTTCTGACTACTCCCTACACTAGGTATATGTGAGAAGATTGATGTAAATATGTAGACTAATGCTCACATATGTATAATCAAAGAAGGCAATTTTTGGAATGATTAACATGTATATGTATATGATCTCATGAATGGAATGCCACTACTTAGACATGAGAACCAGGGATACCATATGCTCGTACCAATTTTAAACTCCACATATTGAAACACATAACAATCAAGATAGAAGTCAAAGGGTTGTAACGGGGCTAAGGTATTGGCTAACAAAGAAAGGTAAGGATAAACAAAAGTTCTTAAAGCAATAGTAAGCAAAGTAATGGAATAAGCACTTAGAATCCACTTTTGAATGCAGAAATCAACTTTGAACACAAAGAGAAACTTCACATAACACTTAGGTCCAAATTCAAATTTTTGGACCCTTTCTTCAACAACCAACACTTGTGAGTTCATTCTCACTTATTTTCAACTCCTTTTCTTTCTTTTCTTCAATTTCTTCTTCTTTTTCACCTTTTTTTTTTTTCCTGTGCCCTTTCTTTCTTTGGCACACTAAACACAACTTCATAGATTTCAAAATGAAAAACCCTTCCCCCACACTTGTTTTTCTGCAATTTGTAGAACAAAAGGAATTCCCTCTAAGTCATGCTTCACTATCCTTTAAGAACAAGGGTATGGGTATTCCTATTCTAGGCTAGGTAAGGATAATGTGGTTAACAAATAAAATAGGCTAAGTAAGGCTCAAAAGGGTTAAACCTACAATACATATGCATAGGGTAAGGCTTTTTGGCTCTGGTTTTAACTAATAAACTTCATCTTGTTATATGTTATGCAATCAATATCATGC